ATTGGTTCATACAATTCATTTAAATTGTTCACTTATAGAATTAGTTGCCCTATTTGCCCAATAAGTGAAATTTCATTAATTTTGTTTGCAGTGTATAAATATCTTGTGTGAACCAACCTATTTCTGTAATTGAAAGTTTCAGTATGTTGCATATTATACATTTGTCCATCTGTGAATAATCAAGGCTATCCATTTTTGATAAGTGGTCTGTAATTAGCATCTAAGTTGTTTTATTTTTTAAATACAGCTTTAAAATGCTCAGAGATACCCCTAATAAACTCTTCCAAGTAGGCTATTATTTGTTTCCCAGTTCTGTGCCTCTCTTGCACTGATAAGGCATAATTCAAATCCAACTTTTCTTAAATTTCTTGCAGTGTTTTTTTCATCCACCAGATGTGCGCAGTTGAGTAATTTTGGCTCAGTTTCAGGGTGGTGATGTCAGAGCCACTGGATTGGAAGATGAGATCTCCTGACATTGTGTCATCAGGGTGGTGGCCATTTCCTCCCCTCCCTCCTCCCCCTTTTCCTGCCCCCTCCCTTTTTGCTGACCTCATTTCTCAGGAACAAAGAAAACAAAGGGGGGTGTTCCTTTTCCTCAGATAAAGGATTTTGCTTGGCTGCCAGAGCATCTTGTTATTCCCATCTGTTTCTTTCTTTTTATAGTGCATTTCCCATACCAGGAAGCTTTAACAGCATCCAGACTGTATTTTAGAGAGTTAAGTGTAATCAAAGAGATTTATCAGCTTTATCTTTGGAGTGGTGGTGGTGGTGGTGGAGAGTAGGGAGAAAGATCTAGTCAGAATTTAAAACTCTTATGCAGATTTTCCATCTGGTACCTGAACAGTTGTAAATTGTTTCACTTTTCCATATTCCATTATGGAATATATTGGAGATAATTAATTACAACATGTGCTAGGCTTTTTATTCTGATACTGTAATACTTCACTTTGAATTTTCTATTCAAAGGGAAGTTTGCATTTTAGCCTTCCATATAGTTGTATTTTACTTAAACCCCACACGTCTATATAATGGCTTAGGTTTATGACATTCTCAAGTTCACACTGCAAAATGAAATGTGTAATTTTGCAATTTTCCTGGGTAATTCATGCAGGCTAAATTGGGAAAATAAATTTAAATTTATTTCTGCAAATCCTAAATCTGAAATTCAGTAGAGACATTTAATGCTGTCATGTGGCTCTTAAAAGTCTTAAGCATTTTCAGCTGGACCTACAGTTCTTAACAAGAATTTCCATGAGCTCGTATCACTTTCCAAACTGCTCTTGAAATATAATAATATCACAGAAAGCCAAAATTTGGAAGTTGAAATAATAATCTTCCTATTCAAATTCAAATTCATGATACATAAATACTGCATTTATATAGCATATAATAATAAGTCTCTACAATATTGTGTGTAATATTTAATCTGGCAGAGTTTAAACATAGACCTTTATGGATTATAATTGCAGAAGAATTTGTGGCTCAAAAATAGAATAGATATAAATCAGAGAGAGTGATTTTACAGATTTCACATTTACTATCAGGTCTTCTTATTTCCATTGCAATTTATGCTTCTCAATTCTAAAGCATCTCAATGCCAAATCAGGTTTTTTTTAAAGCACCAGATGGTGCTATTGCCTTATTTTACTATTCTCTATCTTCCTTTGCCGCATTCAGCCATTTTAGGGAGGATGTTTGCCTTCCCTTTAGACTCCATTTTGTATTGATGGCGCAGAAAAAAATAAAATTGAACAAAGGAGGAGTCTGCAGGAAGAAAACCATGCTGAGTCAAAGGCTGCTATTATTTGATGGCTCTGCTTCCTGCTTTTTTCATGCTCACTCAGCAGACACAGGCCAACAAGCAAGCTTTATTTCATGAAAAGTAGTATTTGTGATCAATAGCAGTTAAAAATTACATTTAGCCACTCTGAACATTTTTTTCTGTCAAGTCAATGCTGACAAACCAAGCAAATGGTTGGTTTCTTTTCATTCATATCTTTCAGTTATTTTTCAGGAAAATGATTACATGTCAGACTAAATCTTTTGCTATATTTAGCTAAGGAAAGGTATGAATCATAGTGGGGGAAGGTTTAAGGAAGCAACAAACAGAAAGTAATAATTATCAGAAACAGATTATTGGTAATTTTTGAAAGTAAAAGATGCTTTCCCATGAATATGACGACATATTAATACATTGTTTTATTTAGTTTTGATATGCAGCATGTGAGCTCCCCTCTCCGATTCATATTTCAGGTTTTGCTATCAGGTAGAGGATATAGGGGCTCTTAATCTCCTTTTATTGATGGAAAAACTGCATCAACACTGAGTCAAAATTCATTATTGCAATATTTGAGAGTGATCAGCTTATTGTAATAGCCAAAAACCCAGAGCTCAAACTATTGTTTCTTCATTATTGAGTTTAACTTCAGGAAGTTACTGTGACATGGACCTCAGACATTATTTTCAGAAGAGCTGAATATGCTTTCTCAGGTCTATTTCAGTCTCTAAATTCAGGTTTTGTGTTTTTTTTTAATCTGTTAATGAACCAAATTGTTTTCCTCTTGCCTTCATTAACTGATTTCAAAGGAGTAACTCTATCTTTTGGAGAGGAGAAAAATAGAAGGCAGAATATAATTATTTCCTTAGAGATGACTGAACATGAAGCACCAATTTATGTGTGACACAGATATTATTACATTAACTAGCTGGTAAGCATAAGTAACATGATGAGAAAAAATAATCCTTATTTAATCCATGAGAAATTGTGTTACATCTAACGAATGCTTGAATTCCTAGTTACATAAATCTGTCAATTCCTTTTCTTGTTAATATAATAGAGCAGTGATGGCTAACCTTTTTGCTATCGCGTGCCAAAAGTGGGGGGAGCGCGGTGGAGTCACACGCATGCGTGCCCACATCCATAATTCTATGCGCCCCGCCCCCCCGTGCTCCCCTCGCTTTTGGCACGTGATGGCCCGGTGGGCATGGTAGGCCCGTTTCTTGCTCTCCCCATGCTCCAGAGCCTTTCTAGGAGCCTGGGGAGGGCAAAAACGGCCTCCCCCCCCCGAGGCCCTTTGGAGGCCGGAAACAGTGTGTTTCCTGAAGGCCCGAAAATCAGATGGCTGGCGCACGCATGCGTGCCGGAGATGAGCTCACGTGCCCACCGATATGGCTCCGTGTGCCACCTGTGGCACCCGTGCCATAGGTTCGCCATCACGGTAATAGAGTATATACTCACATCTAACTGCTAATATAGGATTTGTCACCTCTAAGGCAATTCTTTTTTTATTAACATTCCTCTTTTTCCTTCCTTTCCCCAACAAACAGCTGTGATAATATATCTAATAGGATTATATTCCATGCACTTGATGTGGTAGTTTGTGATTCATAAAATTTTATGTAATAATGTATTTATTACTCTTCAGAGTATGACAAGGCAATTTCTAATAACTATGGTCATGACTGTGTCATTCTTAATGAGCTGGTGAATCTGTGGCCTATCTACCATTTCTCAGGGCAGGTCCAAACTCAGATAATAGATATCAATATGTTTTATCATGTACTGTATTTCCTGTACATAGAAAATTAAACTGGTTAAATGGTTCCCTCCCGTGTAGTTATCTCCATGAAGGGAATATTTTTATCCATAGGGGCATTTCACTTTGTATATTCCTGGCTTTGTACCATTATTGCAGGTCATCTTGGTAATTATTTGTGATTCTAATGCCCCAATTTGATATATCTTCCATTTGTACTTTAGGGCAAGATCCTATTTTCTAATTATGCTGTGCCTCTTTTTTTCTATAAGGTTTATATCCTATCTAAATTGCTTATCTAAATCTTATCCATATTTTTTAAAGTTTTTTTTTATTTTGATTTTTTGAATGTACATCAACATCAGTATCAATACACGAACAGTGCAGTATCTGGGTATCATTCATTTTGGGACAAATGACACTAATAATATTAATAGTATTTGTTACATTAATCAAATTCATGAAATCCTAGTATTAATATACATATTTCTTTTAAAGTAGTTATTCAATATTTCAATGTTCCATTTTAATGCCAATCACAATATTATTTGAGTTTACATAGTACTGCCCTCTTTCAACCTCTAATCTTTCCCTCTAGTTATTGCTTTTATTCTATTGTATGAAAAATATGTGTGCTAATATTCCCCCTATTTCTTATTTCTGCCTCTATTCCAGTGGTGAAATCTAAAATTTGTTACTACCGGTTCTGTGGGCGTGGCTTGGTGGGGGTGGGGGTAATGTGACTGGGTGGGCATGGCCATTTTTTTTTTTTTACTTTTAAAACCATTTTTTCTACAACCTCTTCGGCGAAGAGTTTGTAACTGACAATCCCAGCTGAGTTGCCTGATCATCAGAGGGTTTTTTAAAAACCCTCTGCCGATCAGGCAACTCAGCTGGGATTGTCAGAGCTTGGATCGTCAGAGGCATTTAAAAGAAAAAAAAGCCTCTGATGATCGCGCGGCTCAGCTGGGCATGGGAGGGGGGCAGGGATTTTTGCTACCGGTTCTCCGAACCACCCGCCTCCATCGCTACCGGATCGGGCGGTCCGAACCGGGAGCATTTCACCCCTGCTCTATTCTGGCTTCTAGTCAGGCCACCATTAGTAATCCTAGTGTTAATACACTTGTTTATATTAAGATATAGTCCTTTATTATTATTCAACGTTTCAATGTGCCATTCTAGTGTTGTAACGTAGTCCTTTATGTATGAGCACATAAATGGATCAGTTGCTGCTTTCAAATAATAAATGGGAGAATAACAGTGTAGTTTTGTTTTGTGAGGGGAAGTTTGAAAGATACCTCCTGATATTAGACACACCTATTATAGCAGGCATACCTTATCTTTTTATCACTCTTAAAATCCTTTCAGTGATTAAGAGATGCTCTGAATTTCTTTGAGAAATTGGTAACTATGGACAGTTCTGTTGAAATTATCTGGGTCGCTATGATCTTTAATTCTTCACAGCAAAAAAGCAACCTGAGAGTGGAGAGGAAAAGAACCAACCTAAGAAGAAAGTCAAGGAGCTGAGAGTGCTAGATTCAAAAAATGCTCAGAACCTTTGTGAGTATGATTTGATATGGTTAAGGAGAAATTTCTTTTTTTTAAAGTTTTTATTTTTATTTCTCATAAACACATTTGCATGTACAGTCATTTCCATCGTTTTTCATTCATCTTTTCTTTTAATTTTAATTTTTACTTTTTTGTGGCTGCTCTTTTACCCTTTACCTTTACTCCAACCTTTCTTCTTCTCCTCCCCTTCTCTTCCTTCCTGTTTCTCCTCCTACTTCCTTCGTTCTTCCTCTCCTTCTCTTTCCTACTTCCCCTTCTCTTCCCCCACTCCTCTCATCTTCCCCCCTTCTAACCTTCTCCTCTGCTCCTGTATCCCCTCCTTTTCTTCCTCTCCTTTTCCCTTTCTTCTTTCTCCTCTCCTCTCCTCTCCTCTCCTCTCCTCTCCTCTCCTCTCCTCTCCTCTCCTCTCCTCTCTACACCTTCCTCTCTCTCCTGTTGTTTCCCTTTTCAGTTCAATCTAAAGTGGTATTCAAGGAGCCCCGATTTTCTAATTATCTTTATTCTCATTTCAATTTCTTATTCAATTATTATTTAATTTTATTACATCATTTGCATACATTTTATGATATCTCACTTTTTTCCTTTTTACCCCCCCCCCCTTTCTCCTTTTACTTGACATCATCTGGGTATCTATTTTTCTAATTGTTTTCTCCCATCTATTCTCTATCTAATTTATCTCTATAGCCTTATTCATATTTCTTTTCTAACCAATCATAAAATTTATCCCATGTCATGAAATACATCGACTCCTCTTTATCTTTTATTCTCAATGTTAATCTATTCATTTCTGCACATTCTAAAAAATTTTTTATAATTCTCCTTCCAATGGGATTTTATCTGCTTTCCAGTTTTGTGCAAATACAATTCTAGCCACTGTTATTATATGAACAATCAAATATGTATCTTCTTTACTATAATTCTCTGGTAAGATTTCCAATAAGAATATCTCTGGTTTTAACTCTATATGTTGCTGCAACATTCCCTCTAACCATGTTTGTATTTTCACCCAATATTGTTTTGTTTCTTTACACAACCACCACATATGATAGTATGATCCCGGCAACTGGTGACATTTCCAACACTTAGCTGATTTATCTTTAAACATCTTAGCTAATCTTTCTGGTGGCATATGCCATCTATAAAACATCTTATACAGATTTTCTTTATAGGCTGTTGCCATTGTTAATTTCTTTCCCAAATGTGTTGCCATTTCTCCAATTCTATAGTGTATCCAAAATTCTTTGCCCATGCTATCATTGTTTCTTTTACTTCTTCATCCTCTAGTCTATTACACAATAAATAATTATATAATTTCTTAATCATTTATGCTCAAATACTACAATGGATTGTATCAACAATAAATAATAGAAGAAGATGAGAGAGAAAAATATTTGAAGAAATTGGAACTCTCTAGAATCCCGGAAAAGTTCAAAAAATCATTAGAAGAAAGAATATCTATGATGGAATTAATGGAGGGAATTAAAAGACAGAAAAATAGGAAGACACCAGGCCCATGGATTATCGGCAGAGGTATATAAAACCCTACAAGATGTACTAAGCAACGTGATGCTGCAAGTATTCAATGAACTATTACTTAAAGCTAAAATTCCGGACTCATGGATGGAGGCATATATAACTTTAATACCAAAAGAAGAGGCAGATCTGCAACAGATAAAGAATTATAGACCGATATTTTTATTAAATGTGGATTATAAGATTTTTGCATCGATCATGGCTGAAAGATTAAAAAAATTAATAAACGAGTTTATACATTTGGACCAAAATGACTTTTTACCAAAAAGACAAATTAGAGACAATATGCGAACTAAATTAAATATGCTAGAATATTATGAATTACACTCAGAGAAACAAATAGTGTTGTTATTTTTAGATGCACAAAAGGCTTTTGACAATGTGAATTGGCAATTTATGATGAAACAGTTGAAAATTATGGATTTTGGAGACAGATTTATAAATATGATCCAAACAATATATAGAGACCAAGCGGCAAAGGTGATGGTAAATGGTGAAATGACAGAGAAAATAGATATTAGAAAAGGAACAAGACAAGGATGCCCTTTATCTCCATTATTATTTATATTGACATTAGAGATTTTAAATAGAAAAGTGAGGCAGGAAAAGGAAATACACTGGGACCTCTGCCACCCTTTCTCCCAGATCTCTGTTGCTATGGCTGCATGGATTAGGAGTTTTCATCGATCGCCTTGGACTCCCCCTGCAGCCCGAAATGGCCATTGCCCCGAGATGTCAACATCCGCCGCCGTGAGAGGGCGGCTGTGGGGTCTTTTTCAGCTGACCCGGCCCACGCTGCTGTGAGAGAGCACCGAGGACTGGGATCGCCGGCCCTGGGGTCCACCCAGCATTTTACATCGACCTTGTCTTGGTGACAGGGAGGCAAGGGTTGTGAACATTGTATGCCCTGGATGTTGTGAGAGAGTACCGGGAGTGGCTGTTCCAGAAAGCTGGGTTGTGTTTTGGCCTTACACCTATTGTGACATTGACTGTTCCCCATTTGCCGTTGCCATATCCGTTCCATGGCTGATGAAGGCATCTCGAACTTATGCAACCGCTGAACTGCATGCCCTCAGGAATGCCCCCCATTCCTGGGTTTGGCCGACCAGCCTCGCTAAGAACTGCCTTAAGGACGGGTCCTGGGATCCCGAGAGGTGGCACAAGAGCCTTAAGGGTTTTACTAAAGAGGCTTTATATAATTTTTTATGTAAATTTTTAAGGAGACTGGGGAGGGGGGAGGGTTGTGATTTCTGGCAGGTAGTTGGGGGGCTCCTCTGGATCAATGTCAGTCCAGGCCAAGGGAGGAGAGCGGTGGGGCTGGAGCGGGGATGGGGGCCGATGGCGCCCCAAGGGAGAGGATGGGTACTTCGATTCCGGTTGCAATTGGGAATGGAGGCAGGTGGATGAACAGAGGGCCATATCGGTATTTGGGAGTGCGCCCCGGCTATCTTCGAGCGGTGGCGTGCTCCAACCCTTCTGGTTCTGTCCGACCGCCCGGGGGTTTGAGAGAGAGGGTCCCTAGCCTTAGGCTGGTTTATTTTAATGCCAGGTCTGTGGTTAACAAAGCTCCCCTCATCCGTGAGTTGATTGAGGAGGAGAACACAGACCTGGCCTGCATTACGGAAACCTGGTTGGGCTCGGAGGGAGGAGTCCCTCTGACAACTCTGCCCACCAGGTTTTTGGGTGCTACACCACCCGAGGGCCCAGGGCAGGGGTGGGGGAGTGGGAGTTGTTATTAGGGAGTCCCTTGGTCCACGGGAGGTCACTTTTCCTCAGATAGACAGGTGTGAGTCCCTCCTTATGAGAAGGGGTCCGCAAGGGCAGTTGGGCCTGTTGATTACGTACCTATCTCCCAGCTGCGTATCAACGGCCCTGCCCGGGCTGCTTGATGCTCTCTCGGGGCTGGTGGTTGAGTTCCCTAAACTTATTGTTCTGGGGGACTTTAATCTGCCGTCCCTGGGTGGAGTTCGGGGGCGGCCCGGGAGTTCATGGCAGCCATGGACCTGACCCAGATAATTCAGGGCCCGACTCATGAGGGGGGCACACCCCCGATCTTGTTTTTATCTCGGAACAGTGGCGTGATGATCTCAGTGGGGGAGTACCAGTTATTCATCCCCTGTCATGGACCAATCATTATCTCCTGCGGCTGGGCTTCCAGAATGCCAATCCCCCGCTGAAATGCGGGACCGACCATCTGGTTCCACCCCAGACACCTGATGGATCTGGAGACGTTCCAGACGGAGCTTGAAACAATACCTCTCTCTCTCTCTCACGCCCCAGTTGAGTCTCTGGTGGATGCCTGGGAAAAGGCGGCCTCCGGGGCACTCGACCGTGTCGTGCTTTTGCGGCCTCTGACTGACACAGATCCCAGTTGGCTCCTTGATTCACGGAGGAGCTCCAGGAGATGAAGCACCGTAGGAGAGGCCTAGAGAGCGGTTGGAGAGCCGAATCTGACTGTTCCCAGTTGAGATCGTTCACACGATCTTATCTGGTAGTGATGGAGGCGGCGAAGCGGGCATACTTCGCCCTCATCGCATCCGCAGATAATCGCCCGGCCGCCCTGTCCTGAATCGGAGGGCGGGGGAGGATCCTTTGTGGGGACGTGCCGAGGAGTTTAGTCAGCATCTGCTGGATAAGATCTCAGATTCGGGACGGTCTGGACTCTGACTGGGCAGGGTCTGACGGTGAGGAGGCAGCTGGTCTGGGGATTTGGGAAGAGTTCGATCCTGTCACCCCTGAGGAAGTGGACAAGATTATGGGAAGGCTGAGTGCCACCACGTGTGTACTGGACCCGTGTCCCTCCTGGCTTGCTTATGCGGCCTGAGAGGTGACACGGGATTGGATCCAGGCAGTAATAATGGCATCCTTGGAGGAGGGGATCTTCCCTGCTGCTTTGAAGGAGGCAGTGGTGAGACCCCTCCTCAAGAAACCTGCCTTGGATCCAACCATACTGAATAACTTTCGTCCAGTCTCCAACCTTCACTTTGTCGCGAAGGTTATTGAGAGCGTGATGGCACGGCAGCTCCCGTTGGCCCTGGAGGATACAGACTATCTCGATCCGTACCAATCAGGTTTCAGGCCGGGATACAGCACGGAGACGGCATTGGTCGCGCTGGTGGATGATCTTTGGAGGGCTCGGGACAGGGGATACTCCTCTGCTCTGGTCCTCTTGGAACTTTCGGCGGCTTTTGATACCATTGACCATGGTATCTTGCTGCGACGGCTCGAGGGGTTGGGAGTGGGAGGCACGTTTCTACGGTGGTTCTCCTATCTCTCGGGCCGTACGCAAGCGGTGTTGGCAGGGGGACAGAGGTCGGCTATGAGGCCCCCTCACTTGGGGGGTGCCCCAGGGGTCGGTCCTCTCGCCTCTACTGTTCAACATCTATATGAAGCCACTTGGGAAGATCATCCGTGGTTATGGGGTGCGGTATCATCAGTACGCTGATGATACCCAGCTTTTTATATTCACCCCAAACCAGCCCAGTGATGCCCTCGATGTGATGTCCTGCTGCCTGGAAGCGGTATGGACTTGGATGAGGAGGAACAGGCTCCGACTCAACCCCACCAAGACCAAGTGGCTGTGGGTACCAGCATCTTGGTCCGATCGAGATCTTCCATCGGGGGTGAGGTGTTACCCCCTGTGGATAGGGCTCGTAACTTGGGTGTCCTCCTGGATTCACGGTTGTCTCTGGAAGATTATGTGACAACCGTGACCAGGGGGGCATTTGCCCAGGTTCACCTTGTGCGCCAGTTGCGCCCTTAACTTGGACCAAGATGCCCTACGCACTGTTACTCATGCGCTGGTCACCTCCCGTCTTGACTACTGCAACGCTCTCTACCTAGGGCTGCCCTTGAAAACCACTCGAAGGCTTCAGCTGGTGCAGAATGCGGCCACACGGGTTGTGATGGGAGCGTCCCGACACTCCCATGTTACACCCCTCCTGCGCGACTTGTATTGGTTACCGGTTGCCCTTCAGGTGAGGTTCAAGGTGTTGGTTATTACCTACAAAGCCCTTCATGGCCTAGGCCCGGGATATTTGTCGGACCCCCTGCAGCCAGCGACAATTCCCAATCGCCCGGTGCATTCCCACAGACGGGGCCTCCTCAGGGTGCCGTCAGCCAGACAGTGTCGGCTGGCAACCCCCAGGGGGAGTGCTTTCTCTGTGGGCGCACCCACCCTCTGGAACCAGCTTCCTTTGGGGCTCTGGATGGCCCCTGACCTTCGTTCGTTCCGCCGCGATTTGGAGACCTGGTTGTTCCGTAACCTGGACTGATGGGGGGTTTCTTAATAAATTTTAAATTGTTTTAAATTGGAATTTTAATTTTATATTGGCTTTTATGAGGAACTATGCATTTTACCGTTGTGAGCCGCCCTGAGTCTTAGAGATAGGGCGGCATATAAATTGCAATAAATAAATAAATATAAATATAAATATAAATATAAATATAAATATAAATATAAATATAAATATAAAAATAAATAAATAAATAAATAAATAATTAATAAAGGAATGAGAATTAAAAAAGAAGAATACAAACTACAAGCATTTGTGGATGATTTGGTGTTTATCATGGAAGACCCAATAGAGACAATGCCAAAACTATTAGAACAAATAGAAGAATATGGGAAAGTAGCAGGTCTGAAAATTAATAAAGATAAGACAAAAATATTAGTTAAAAAATATGAGAGAAAAGCAAAAAAAGGAGATGATGGAGCAACTGGACATCCAAATTGTGAAGAAAGTGAAATATTTGGGCATTTATCTGACATCAAGATGTGCAATGCTCAAGGAAGACAATTACTGTATCATAAACTGAAAAAACAAATTGAAATAGACCTGGAGAAATGGAGAAACTTGCAATTATCACTAATGGGGAAGAATAGCATTAATAAAAATGAATGTATTACCAAAAATATTATTTTTATTTCAAACTATACCAATAAAGCTGGAGAAAAAATATTTTGAAGAGTTGAAGAAAATAACGTGGACATATGTGTGGCAAGGAAAGAGAGCAAGGATCAACATAAAAATGCTACAAGATGCAAGAAGTAGCGGTGGGTTTGGCTTTCCGAATTGGGAATTGTATTATCAAGTGGCAGCGTTAACATGGATTAAAGAATGGATTTTATTAAGGAATACAAGACTATTGATATTGGAGGGTCATGATTTACAACTGGGTTGGCATGCCTTTTTATGGTACGGGAAACAAAGGATACATGGATACTTCCAAACACATTATGTAAGAAATGGTTTGTTATCAGTGTGGGAGAGAGTGAAAGAAAAACAATATTTGAATTACCAATGTGGCTTTCTACAATAGAAGCGGTGACATACCCAAATATTGTGAACATGGGGAATATTGTTAGATATAAAGACATTTTGACAGATCGGGGAGAACTGAAACAAAAACAAGAACTAGAGAGTCAAGGGATTGAGATAGATTGGTATACAAGACTGCAAATATAATCAAGATATGAAGCAGATCGTAGACAATATGGCTTCAACTTGGAGAAATCTGAACTGGATGAAATATTGACAAGAACGGATGAGAAAAAAGGAGAAATTTCTATCAATGAAAAAGCAGTGGAAGAGCTTGCTTCCAGAAGTTGTAAATGCTCCATTAACTGGAGGTTTTAAGAAGAGACTGGAGTTGTTTGGATTAGTATAGATTCTTCTGCTCAAATGGGTTGGATTAGAAGACTTCCAAGGTCACATCCACTGTTATTCTGTAATTCTGGTGGGAAAGTTTGCCTAAGTTACCTGTAAAAACTTTCAGAAATATTTGAATGTTTATTTGAAAGAAGAAAGGAAAAGTCAGGAAAGGTACATTTCTCTGATTTTAATATTTGGATATGCCAATAATTTGGTTAATTGTGCTTCTCTTTAAATGTGGCAGCAATTTTTTTGGGCTCCTTTCGTTTGCCTTATGAGGAAATCAAGAATGCCATCTTGGAGGTGAATGAAGCTGTGTTGACTGAATCCATGGTGCAGGTGAGAAAGACTAGAATGTGTGATCATATTTTCTCTCTAGAGTGTAAGTCTTCACAGCCAGTATCCATTAAGCTGAACTCAATCTTCAGTAATTCTGGCAACTAAAAAGTGCTTATTTTGCTATCCAGGATTGTAAGAACAGAGAGAGATTGTCAAGTACTGGCAGCCCCAAGGTTTCTGTTTGATAGATCATAAATTATTCAGGTTTGGGTATATAATAATCAAGAGATTTTATGATATCATTGGATCCCTTGTATTTGAATATTTGCTATTTAGAAGCATATCAAATTATGTCAAAAGGTTTAAAAGACTCATCCTTAGACTAGTTTTTCCTAGGTCAATATTATCATATTAAAAGCTATTCCAAGCAACTGTATCCTTTTAACTTCTTTCTCAGAATCTGATTAAGTTAATGCCTGAACCAGACAAATTAAAGATGATCGCAGGACTAAAAGAAGAATATAATGAACTAGCTGAGTCTGAGCAATTTGGAATTGTGGTAAGTGATTATCCATTGCAGAAGAGGAATCATATCTCTTTCAGAAAAGAAATTGATAACAAACCCACAATAATACAATGTAAGTTTCTCCCTCTTATTTATCAGTGTGTCACATCATTTGCTAGGACGTCCCACTGTTATGTCTACTATTTTATTCTAAATGCTTCATTTTTTTCCCCTTAGCTTTAAGTATAGTCCTTATGTTCTAACTATATGTCTCATGAGCTATTTGAAATTCTAAAATTTTATTTTGTGCTCTAGACAGAAAAAAATGAAATTCTGATTTTAGGATTTGCTGATTAGATTTATTTGTTGCTATAAAAATGGCTAGTATATATTCAGTATGCAAAACCAAAAAGTTGTAATTTTATTGCCTTTATTCTACTGCGCTGAAGAGTTGGAAGCTAATGTTTTTTTCTTCTTTTTTCTCTTTATCCCATACTTTTCTCTTCCCCTTTTTTCCTTCCCCCACTTTATTTTTCTTTATTTTCACTTATATTTTATAGAAATATACATTTTGTCTTTCACACTTCTGAAGCTTAAACAATAAGGTGATGAGTATACTGCTATTCAAGGGGAAACTTTAACAGTTGGGTCCAACACACTGGTCAAGAGAAGACCGTATACCTGTGATGGCGAACCTATGGCACGCATGCCACAGGTGGCACGTGGAGCCATATTAGTGGGCACGCCAGCTCAGCTCTGGGGTGCATGCGCGCGCCGGCCAGCTGATTTTCGGGCCTTCTGGGCCCACCAGAAGTAGGGAAACAGGCTGTTTCCTGCCTCTGGAGGGCCTGGGGGCGGAGTGGGGAAGGCCCGTTTTTCTTTCTTACCTGGTTCCAGATCCTCTCTGTGTATCTGGGAACGGCGAAAACAGCCTTTCCCACTCCCTTGGAGGCCCTACGGAGGCTGAAAGGGCCCATTTCCTGACTCCCGTGGGACAGGAAGTGACGTTTTTTCCTGTCCCCAGCCTCCAGAGACTCCTAGAGAGGTTCCTATAGACTCCTAGAGAGGCTCCTATAGACTCCTAGAGAGGTTCTGGAGGCTGGGGACAGCAAAAAATGTTACTTCCTGTCCCACCGAGAGTTGGGAAATGGGCCCTTTCAGCCTCCGTAGGGCCTCCAAGGGAGTGGGAAAGGCTGTTTTCGCCCTTCCCAGATACACAGAGAGGATCTGGAACCAGGTAAGAAAGAAAAACGGGCCTACCAGGCCATCATGTGCCAGGAGCGGGGGGGAGGGGGTTGCGCACGCATGCGCGTGGGCACGTGCGTGCGCGACCTTTCCCCGCCCCCCCTCCTGGCACGCGATGGCAAAAAGGTTAGCCATCACTGCCCTATACCATTCCAAACAAAAATGGTTAAAAACCTTCAATAATGGAGCACCCATAACTTCTGGAGGCAAACCATTCCATTGATTAATTATTCTCACTGTCAGGAAATTTCTCCTTAGTTTAGGTTGCAACTTTCTTTAATCTTCCACTTGTTACTTCTAGCTCTGACCTCAAAAGCTTTGGAGAATAGATTGACTGCCTCCTCTGTTGTCAGCTCTTCAAACATTGGAAAATTGTTATCAAGTCACTCCTAGTTCTTCTCTTCGTTAGACTAGACATACCCAATTCCTTCAACCATTCATCATATATTTATCTTCCTAATTGTCTTTGTTGCTGTTTTCTACACTCTTTCAAGAATCTCAACATCTTTTTTGTATTGTGACTAAAACTGGATGCAGCATTCCAAGTATGGTCTTACCACTGAAGTACAAAGCGGTACAATTCACATGATCTTGATACCTTGACCCATCTATTGAGGCATCCTAGTACAGTGTTGGCTTTTTTTTTGGCAACTGTAGTATAATGCTGGCTCATACCTAAGTGTTTGTCCACTAGGACACCTAGATCCCTCTCACAGTTACAGCTGTTGAACCAAGTACCACCTATTCTATACCTGTGCATTTGGGTCTTCCTAAGTGTAAAATCTTATTTTTTAGCCACTGAATTGCATTTTGTTAGATACAGCCTAGTGTTCAAGTCTGTGGATATCCTTCCAGATCAGGGGTGTCAAACTCGATTTCATTGTGGGACGCATCAGGGTTGTGGTTGACCGGGGGGGGGGCAAGGGGGCATGGCCAGCTCGACATCACTGTGGTGGCCCGGATGGGGCTGGGGGGATCCATTGTCTTCAGCAGAGGTAGGTGAGACCAGGGCAAGCGCCAAACCCTTGCCTATCAGAGGAGCCTCACCGTCCCTCTCAGGCCACGTGGAGGACCCCCGGAAGGCAGTGCAGGCTGCTTGGAGCCCTGGGCAGTGGAGGGCAAGCGCCCAGCCCAGCCCTTGAGTTCCCAGGGCACCGGGACCCCACAGCCCAGCCCAGCCCTGCTTCCCCTAGGGGGCGCTTGGCTGCGCTTACCTCCTCTTCAAGGCTGCTGCTGCTGTGCTCGCTCTTCTTGGGCAGGTTGCTCATGGTGTGTGGAGGAAGGCAAATTATGTGGGTCAGAGGGAGGCCCATTCCCTCTCCTTGCAAACTGGCTTTGTAACCAAAGCATCCTCAGCTATAGGATAGGAGACCACTAGGAGAGGAGGGGGCAAGGGGATGGCAAAAGGGCAGCAGGACTGCTGGTGGCCAAGTGCTAAGGCAGGTCTTTCCTGAGATTCTCTCTCCCTCTCATAATCTTCCTTCCTTCCTTCCTTCCTTCCTTCCTTCCTTCCTTCCTTCCTTCCTTCCTTCCTTCCTTCCTTCCCCTTTTCTTCCTTTTCCTTCCCTCTTAATTCTCCTTCCTTCCTTCCCCTCTTTCCTTCTTTTTCCTTCCTTGCTGTCTTCCCCTCTTTTCTTCTTTTTCTTTGTCTTTCCTCTTTCCCTTTCTCTTTTCCTGCCCATTCTTGGATGCTCAAATGCAAAAGGAGAAACATTTCTCAATGCCTCCTTGCCTTGTGATCAAATGCCACTTTTGCTAGTTGTTTGTGGCCAGTTAAAAGACTGAGAACAAACTAGACTCAGTTTATCCCATGCTTTCATTTAGTGGGGGTGTCCACAGACAACAGTACAGCAAAACTGTCAAAATGGTGGCTGTGATAGTTGATCAGAGCTCTCCTGTTTTTTAGCATTTAGCTTTAGCATTTAGGAATACAGCTTTAGCATTTAGGAATACAGGTAAGTTAGTTGCTTTTCTATTAGTACATAATCTTTAAAAGGGCTCTCCTGTAGGGACCCTGCATGGTCTAATTCAGACTGGAAATATAACAAAGGAAAATATTTTCCCCACTCTGCTTTGTCCTGTTTTCCCCAATGGAAATGGCTGTTCGTAACACACAAGGAGGGGATACTTTCATGAGAGCTCACAATTCAAGAATACCAATGTTAACTTGGATTGCCAACAAAGTCCCATCTGTGACAAAACAGAAAACAAAATTGCTTTCTCCTTTGAACCCAAGTCTCAATGGATCCAAGACTGATACAGAACTGCATAAACTGGGGCATCTCCAACCAAGTTGCCTCTCCTTCCTTCCTTCCTTCCTTCCTTCCTCTTTCTTTCTCTCCTTCCCTGCCTCCCTGCTTCTCATTCCCATCTTCTTCCTTCTCTGCACTCAGGAAGGGACGAGGGGAAGGGGAGAGATTGGCAGTGCTGCCAGTGGAAAGGGAATCCTTGCATGCTGCAGGGCCAGATCTGCAAGCAGGGCATGGAGGCTTGTGGTGGTCATCCAGGCCGGAATGCAATCAGCCTTATATCTGACCCGTGCAGACCTTGGAGCCAGCGAGGGGCCGCCCACTGCCTTGGCGAAAGGGAAGCCTCACGGGCTGTGAGGCCAGGCTGGCGAGCGGGGCATGGAGGAGCTGATGCAGATGCAGCACTGATCTACAACTTGTGGAGGCCATCCAGGCTGGAATGCAGTCACCCTTAGTGTCAGTCGTGGAAACCATCTTTTACTTTGGATCTTCAGGACTGCCACATTTAGTGCTGTGGGAAACTGGGAGGGGGGATTGTATGGAGTGAAGTGATATCTAGCATAATAAAATTCATTTCTTTGAGAGTCAAGGATATCTTGCCCTGCACCTGGGGTGGTATGACTGGGAGCCATGTCCAGTTGGGACAGTGCATTGATTGGACCATGTGATGGACATGTGGGTGTTGGGGCAAGGACTTGAACTTTCTTTTGGGTGAGGAAAACCTGGAACCTTTCAGATTTGGGTTTTCTCAAATGTGCCAATATGACATCTGTCGAGCCCCAGATGGGTCTCGCCATTGTTGGGGAGGAAAATGAGAAGGGGCCGATGAGCGGTTGGGTGGACAAGCCGAGAACATCTCTAATAAAATGGGACTTTGAGGAACTTCTGGCCTCAGAGTTTTCTTTCGTTGGGGGTGTTACTTGGAACCCTGACATTTAGATCTGACCCATGAGGCTGTCCTGGAGCCAGCAAGGGACCGCCCCACCACCTCAGCCCTGCCCCCTGGGTGTGTGCACAGGAGGCAGCAAGGGCTGGCGTCCTGGGTGAAAGGGAAGCATTCAGAACATGGTCAACCTGAAAATGTGACTTCATGGCGAGAACGGCTGGAAAATAGCAGAGCTCCCCGGGCTCCCTGAAATGCAGCCAGCAACTGCTTGCTGGGAGACCCTATAGGGTTAAGCCTCCCTGGAGGGGAGGGGAAGAAAGGAGAGGTGCTTTGTCGATCGCAAGGGAAACACAATTTCCTCGCTGATCCAAAGAAAGCTCTTCGGAACAGCAGCAGGGACGACGGCCATTTTTGGTCAATCACAAGCTGGGACAACCGTGTTGTGGTCTGCTAGCAGCCTGCGGAGCTGGCAGCGGAGTTTGGACAGTAAAGAGGCTGGGGAGGAACATGGGCCAATCCTGGAGTCTGGGGAAGGCCGGGATGAGGGCTCTGTGTCGGAGGCAGAGATGGGGCCAGGTTCATCTGGGAGTGATGCGCAGACTCCGGAGCCCCAAGAGTCAGATATCAGAGAGGCAGAGGAACAGGAGGAGCCTGTTCCTAGTGCATGCATACGC